AACGTCCGCTATTTCTTTCAGCCTGTGTCTCTGTGTGCTTAGGTGAAAACTGAAGTTGGTGCTTCTAGTTTCTACATAATTTACTGTTTCACCAAATCACATAGCTAATGTGCATCCGTTTAGAGATTGGCCCTGTCATAGCAGTTCATTCACTCTTCACTGAATGCCTGAAAATATAATATGTGGGCAGTCCACAAAATTTCATGATATATTACCGCTGTCCTTTTAAAATGCTATGTGATTGTTGAAACCATTGAAGTTTTCCTTCAAATTGAATTTAATAAGATTACATAAATGTCTGTACAGTGTGACAACTTCTAATGGTTGTTATGAAGGCCACCTCTTTTAGACATAAAAAAGTGATGTTCCTAACCTTTTTACAGAATTAAGACTCTCATTTAGTAGGATGATGGTGATAAGATAGACTCTTGGTCTGTTCCTAGAAGTGTCTCTTTTATGTTAAACCACTCTTGTGAAAAATTAACATGCTATTAGCATATATATTAAAGCACCCTCTGAGGATTCAGCAATCAAAAATGATGACTTAAGGCAATTTTCCAGAACATTCCTCCATTCCTGATTATGTATCTGTCTTTTAGTTGATGTTCTCAAAGTGTGGCCCTGGGACCCCGAGTGTCCCCAAGACCCTTTGAATGGATCTACAAGGTCAAACTATTTTTATAGTAACTCTAAAGTGATATTGCCTTGTTCATTCACCTTCTTACATGTGTGGGACTTTCTGAAGCAGCTACTTACAAAATTCTAAAGCAGTGTTATTCTTGGGAAATTTATTTTGCTTTGGAATATAGGATTTCCCCCCCCACACACCTTAAAGCTGTTTGTTTATATTAGTATGGGCTTGTTTATTTTTTGTAATTAATATTTTAGAGAATTATCAGTTTTCACTTTTGTGTGGTCCATATCAGACGATATAATCCATATGAACAAAAGCTTTTGACACAGATATTGGAATACTGCTCTACATGTTCCTTATTCAGGGTCTTATGTAGGGATTTACTTTGTTGAGACTTACTTGACTACTTACCTGGTGGTCTATGAACGGTCTGCTTTTTGTAACTTCAGACTATATTTTAAAAGGCTCTTGTCCCACTCCACTGGAAGGTGGGAATCATTGTGTGTGGGCATGGACCTGGGAACTGTGCCATTTAAGTGCAAAGTAGTCATAGAATCTAATACCAGGTAGGCTGGTATTAGATTCTGTGACTAATGTATCATTTAGCCAGTCACAGGTTGTTATTTTGTGATATTAACTTCACCACAACTGACAGGAACATGGACATGTTGTCTATGTTCAGATTTCTTAATTTTTAAGTGCACTTAACTGTGTACGTATGCTTTTCTTATTTTTTCTTATTTTCTTATTTTTTATGCTTTTCTTATTTTCTTGCTCTCCTATTTCTATATCGATTGGTTTTAGAAAGTTATATTGTCTTCCTATCATGAAAGGTCAGGATTTAGTGTTCCAATGCCTCTTATCTTTCCACATTTCCCCTTCTCTCCAATTTTTTTCATTAGATGATTAATTAATTCACTGCATTATGCACATCAAGTAATGTAAATGCCACTTATGGACATGTCTAAGTTCTAGCATTGCAAATCTCGAGTAACGCTAATTTTTCCTAAAATAAATATTTGCTACTACCTGAGTTGGCCTAGGTTTCTGTGTTTTGATATCTGATTCTTAACCAGTTCTGCATTAAAACTCAAACTCTTGGGACTAGAGACTTGGCTCAGGGGTAGACTACTTGTGAAGCATGTTTTGCATATACAAGGACCAGGTTCAACCCCCAGCACAACTTATTTATCAAGGATTTCACCTGAAATCTTTTGAACACTGTCAATATGTGAAACTATTTGAGTGATGTTTCATCCCTCAGTCTGCCCTCTGCACAGGATCAGTTCCATGCTAAACACAGAGGAAATAAGTCAGTAAATAAATAAGTAAATAAAATAAAACTCAAACTCTTCTCAATGTTTACAAGCACATAGGTAGTTTTTTTTTTTTTTTAATTCATCTTTGCTTCTTTTCATGGAGTCATTCTTCTGAGCTTTCCATCCTCTTGCTGAAGTCAGGTTGGGTGATTCTCTGAATTCCTACATAGGGACTTCTTTTTATTTTTTTTATTTTTTATTTTTTAATTTTTTTTAAATTTTATTTTGTTTTTTATTGGTTGTTCAAAACATTACATAGTTCTTGATATATCATATTTCACACTTTGATTCAAGTGGGTTATGAACTCCCATTTTTACCCTTATACAGATTGCAGAATCACATCAGTTACACTTCCATTGATTTACATATTGCCATACTCATGTCTGTTGTATTCTGCTGCCTTTCCTAGAGTAACTAAGAACAGAGTAGGGAAGAAGAGCATGAGAAGAAGACTAACATTAAACAGGGATGAGAGGTGGGAGGGAAAGGGAGAGAGAAGGGAAATTGCATGGAAATGGAAG